AGTGTTCAGAGCATTTTAAAGTCCCAATAATAAATTGCAGGCATGGTAGGAAGTGGTAGGTAAGTACATGAGTGAAAAGGGGGGGTATAAGGCAATTGTGAGAGCTGGGAACTAGGAAGTACATTTCCCAACTAAAATTGGGTATTTTAAACATGTTCAGGAACACTTTGTTGGCAAACAACAAAGACTTCACTAAAGCTGGATTTGATACCAGCTGTGAGTTTTCAACTGCTGCTATTGTTAGGCACAATTTCTTGGGATTGTAATAACTAAAAAAACCCTGACATTTTATTTTATTTTATTTTTTATTTTATTTTTTTTTGTCCTTCTTGAGACTGGCCGCACCGCGCTCAGCCAGTGAGCGCTGTGAGTGCATCGGTCATCCCTATATAGGATCCGAACCCGCGGCAGGAGCGCTGCTGCACTCCCAGCGCGGCACTCTCCCGAGTGCGCCACGGGCTTGGCCCAAAACCCTGACATTTTAAATATCAGTTCTATGTTGCTTGTGTAGGAAGGGTACTGTCCTCTTTCATCTTGTACTTACCATGGTTCCAAATGTGAGTTTTTACAATACTGTAATGGAGAGTGCTTTGGGGTTGGAGGCCTGATACAAGTTCTAACTTCACAAACTGGCTTTATGACATTGGAGAAGTTACCTAATTTCTGTAACCCTGGTTTTCTCACTTGCAAAGTGGGGAAAGTAACTACAACCTCTTGTGAAGATTAAAAGAGAATTTTTTTTAAATTGGCAAATAATTGTGTATACTTATGGAGTACAATGTTATATTTTGATCTATGTATACATTATAGAAAGATTCAGTGAAGCTAATTAATATAATATATTCATGAGCTCACCAACTAATTTTTTTGTGGTGAAAACATTAAAAATTTGTTTTTTTAAATCCTATAGTTTATCTGAAACTTTATAGTCTTTGATCAGTGAGGTAATTTGTATAAGGTCCAGCATAATACCTAGTTGCCAGTAAATGGTTTATTTCCTTATTATTTGCTGGCTCAGAGCAAATCAGGTCTAGGTAGAAAGTTAGGTTCAGTTCAGTAGATATATACTGAATGCCTGCTGTGAATAAGGGCACAGAATACAAAGATAAGACAGTTCCTGCCTATTTAGCTGTCAGCGTTGTGCATGTATGCGCATGTGCTCCTTTGTGTGTTGGGAACAATGGAGTGTTGAAAGGGAGTTATTAACAATTATTACACATTAACACTAATGTAAATATCTACCTACACGTATACTTAAAGAAGAGTTAGAGTTTCTACTTAAGAAGATCAGTCAATAAATGTTCAAGGAATTCATGTGTTTAACCAGGTACCACACTAGGCATTGAAGATGTAGTGAACAAGGCCAGTGTATTAGTCCATTTTGTGTTGCTACAACAGAATACCTGAAACTGGGTGATTTATAAAGAAAAACAAAATTTATTGCTTACAGTTTCTCAGGCTGGGGAGTCCAAAATCCATCTGGTTGTGGCTATAGTGACCCAGGGGTCTCACACTGCAAGATGGGAGGAGGGAGAGAGAGAGAAAGACAGACTCTCCTCTTCTTTCAGAGCCCTCGGAACCACGTCCCTGACCATCCATTTTAAATCCATACTGCATGGTCCTACAATCCAATCACCTCTTCAAGGCCCCACCTTTCAGTTACCATAATAGGATTTCCCACCCTCTTTGCAGTCACAGTGGGGACTAAGTTCCTAATAAATAAAACTTGGGGGACACAACTCAAGCTTCAGTGAGTTTGCGGGGGGGACATAATTCAATCCACTACAACCAGATGCCTACTGTGTCCTTCATAGAGCTGTAACTTTAGTGGTACAGGCATACATTAAACACAGAATCATGTGAACAACTTTATAATCTCATTTATAATAAGTGTTAGTGAAGAAAGTATAGAAGGATTCAGAATGCTATGAGAGTATATAGGAGACCTAAATTAGATTGGAGAATCTGGAAGGATTCCTTGGAGAAAATGATATTTAGGTTGAGACTTAATAATGAAAATAGACTGTCAAATCTTTATTTATTGAGCTCTCATTTTCTAGAATCTGTACAGACCACTTCTGTAAGATTTATTTAGCTATGGTTAGGTTAAAGATCTTATTTTATAGTTACTTAAGCCTTGAGTAAGTCCCAAAATCCTAAGCTGCTTTTGTTCTGTAAGACATCTTGTCCTTTAAGGTATTCAGACAGCTAATCTCTTCCATTATGCCTTGATTTTGCTTAACTAAGAGGATAACTTGAGGGAACTTCAAAAA